ACGCGCCCGACGGACAGCACGGACCCGGGCCGGGGTGGTACCGGTGGGGGGGGGGGGAGCTGTCAGAGAGCTGTCAGACCGTCAACGACTCTCAGAGGACTTGTCAGGACGGGAGAGATTGTCAGAGACGCTGTCCTATCCAGCCCCGAGAGACTGACGAACTGTCAGTGACAGCAGACACTGTAAAACGACTGTAAGAAACAGCAGAGACTGGCCGACTGCTAGCAGACAGCAGACACTATAAAACCGACTGTCGATCAGACCAGCAGAGACTGAACTGTCTGTCTGACTGACTGTCAGGAACAGCAGATAGTACTAAAAAAAACGACCGTCAGAAACAGCAGAGAGACTGACCAAATGTCAGTGAACACTGAACAGCCGATACTGACCTAATATCAGAATAGCAGAGACTAAGCAGAGACTGGTCGATGCCCAAAACAGCAGAGAATGACCGACATTACAAGTGTATGAGGAGTAGGCAGGGAAATGTGATTGCCTTAGAAACGACCGTGAATAATGTTGCCAACGACTAACGAGTATGCAGGGGACTGTACCCGCTATTTTGTCCCGGTGAGTTGGAGCAACCATCAGAGCAACCATGTCTTGGCGAGATGTCAGGATGTCTGTTTGAATCCGACAGGGCTTTAAACCAACCTCCGTATTTACCTCCTAGATACCTCCGTCACCTAAAGGCGCTATCTCTCAGCTGTGATCAAATGTGACCCGTAAACAGCCACTGCGACAGCAGACACTGTCAAACCAAGCTCTTACCCATCCTCTGGTACCATTGGCCTTGCTCTAGCTATTCCCTATGCTAAGCTCAGTCTAACATTGGGCATGAGTTCTGTTTACGATCGGTTTGTTCTGGCTATCTCCGGTTTCTACTTCCTCCGCTGCCTCTATTGTCTTGGTTAGCACTAGTTAGCTCAGCTGGCCAGCCCGCAGTGACATCTCCCCTAATCAGAATCCCCCCCCCTCCCTCAGCATCGTCCTCCCGCTGCACCGTGACAGCTCTGCCCATTTCCAGCCTCCCCCACCCCACCCCCTCCCGCCCGCCGGACACTGCAGGTCACATGACCTGCACCACAGGACAGGTCACGTGGTCCAGCCGCCGTCCAGCCGGGCGGGGCACGTGACCGCCGCAGCCGCCGGCGGCTCTGGTCACGTGACCGGGCGGTGAGGTGATATAGCCGGCGTCCGGCGGGCGGGCGGGCAGTCGCACTGGAGAAGCGTAACTCGTGAGGAGAGGGGAGGAGGAGGCTTCAGCGCCACCCACCAGCTGGTCTGTGTGGAGAACTGTGGCTGGTCTCATCTGAGAACCACAGCCGGACTCCGCTGAGAACCACAGCTGGTCTGTGGGCTCACCGGCGTTTGACCAACTAGATCAACAGACTCGTACATACGCCGAACGCCACCTGAAAAATACTCAACACAGGCTGTGGCACGGTCTCCGCTCGACTCACGCTCGACTCCAGTTTGACTCAAGAATCTATTACGACTCAAGTTTGAATCCAGTTTGACTTTTTGAGACGTTTCAAGACTGAGGAAATCTACCAGTAGACTATCCTACTCCGAAGATCGTCTCGGTGAATACGCCCACCGACTCGCAACAACCCGAGTCATCATGCACCCGAGTCACTCTTGTTCGGCCGAGCTGCGGCGACTCGGTGACTCCACCGAGTCAGGGATCTCCGGCAGCTCGTGGCTGAGTCAGTTGTCACTGGCGTCGACTCCGAGTCAGAGTTCGGGCTGTGTGAGTCTGCCGGCCGATCTCAGGAGAGAGTCCGCTCTCGCCAGAGCCGACTCTGCGCTCTTCCTGTCACCTTTTCTGCCGGTGAGTCAAACTCCCGAGTGGAGTGAGTGGGAGGGTGAGTGTTGAGTTGACGAGTTCAGGCTAGAAGCTACTGAAAGAAGAAGTGTTTGATGTAAGCTTGTCAGCTATTTCGGCAGATGAGTGATGAGAACTAACGAATAGGAAGACGTGCACGAGCGGTGTTGATTGCGATAAATTCGAACCAAAGGATGATTCGCGTTTTGTGTGCTTTAAGAGATAATCCAAAAGTGATACATTCCTGTCTAGGAAACTTTTCATTGACTGGGTGACCTGTCTAATCAAGTTGGAACCGTCAGGGGGGGGGGGATTCACAGCATCGGCGGCCTACCTGAAAGTCAAACAGTTTGTCGAAAAGAAGTGCTGTGCTGCGACCACCCCAGCTGACCCCATTTCTCTTCCGTTTCAGTACGTCGAAATTCCGCCTGAGAAGGGTCTCCAGAAGTACAGGTCCATTCTGCGTCTGGCAGCGAGAAAGGCCCGTAAAAACCTGCTGAAACAGAACACGCACCAGTGTACGATTCCTGAGGAGTATCGCGAGCAGCTCAAACAGATCTACGTCTACTGAGAGCTACCGAGAGCTATGAGAGCTACTGGGAGCTACTGGGAGCTACTGAGAGCTACTGAGAGCTACTGAGAGGTGCCGGGAGCTGCTGGGAGCTACTGAGAGCTACTGGGAGGTGCTGAGAGCTACTGAGAGGTGCCGGGAGCTGCTGGGAGCTACTGGGAGCTACTGAGAGGTACCGGGAGCTATTGGGAGCTACTGAGAGCTACTGGGAGCTACTGGGAGCTACTGGGAGCTTCTGGGAGCTGTCGAGAGCTGTTTGAAGCCTCCGTGAGCTACTGAGAGGTGCCGGTGATTGTCAGTGACTGTCGGCAGTCACCAGTAAATTCAGCGGCGGTCAGTGGTTGCCAACGGCAGTCAGCAGCTGTTAGCAGCTGCCAGCGACTGTCAATGGCTGTAAACGACTGCCACCACCTCTCAGTGACTGTTGGAAGCAGCAGGCAGTGACTGCCTGTCAGACGCTGTCAGCATCTGATAGTGACGGGTATCACCTGCCGAGAGCTGTCAGTAGCTGCTGTCAGCGTCTGTCAGCGTCTGCCAGCAGCTGCTTGCGGCTGCCTGCGACTGACAGCAGCTGCAAGTGATTGCCAGCGTCTGCCGATAGCAGTCGGCAGCTGCCAACAGCTGCTGTCAGCGTCTGTCAGCTACCACCAGCTGCTGTCAGCGTATGTCAGCTGTAGTCAGCTGCTGTCGGCGTTTGTCAGCTGCCGTCTGCTGCTGTCAGCTGCTGTCAGCTGCTGTCAGCTGCTGTCAGCGTCTGTCGTGTTCTGTGTGCCATCTAGTCCGTGCCGACGAATGATTTCGTTGCAATGATACTCCAACCTGCGTGTACAACTCAAATGTAAGCCACTGTTACGTAAATATATGTGTAGAAAGGTGCAGAAAAGGCGGCCCTAGCACGGGTACCAAGTGTAACAATTGAACTGGTTTGTTGCAGATAATAAAGGTTGTGTTTCTTACTTTCGGACTCCATTGAGAGATGGTTTTGTTTCGGATTGGTTGGCAGGACTAGTGATGGTGCAGAGCTTCCCGAACTCCCACAGCTGTGCATGGATGAGTGGGTGGACAATAAATAGTCAGCAGTTACGGCACGAGAACACCGCGAAAGAAAGGTATAATAAGCATAGATAGCATGGGTCATGATTCATGTTATCTATGGTAGGGGAAAGTGGGGTAAGACGGGCACCTTAACTTTGGAGCCATTTTTCGGCCGGTTAGAAACATCATAGAAACGGGAAACTGGGTGAAAACCTTTTTCAGACATTTTACTTTCATTTGCCAGAAGATGAGACTTAGACCTGATTCAACAAATAAACTGCAGCTATTTTTGCAAAACCTTGCAAAAACCCGTCTTACCCCACCCCATGGGGTAAGACGGTCACATGGGTAGGGCAAGACGGCCAGCTTCTTTCACCGATCAGCGCAGCTCGCAACAAATGCCCGAGATTAGCCGCATTTATACAGTCGCTCGTTGGTCTCAAGTGCTTCGGAAATGGCAGTATACGAGATTCGTGCAGAAGGCGTATGCTCCTATATAGGCCCTAGTTCAGAAGCCATGTAGAACCGTTTTTCACATTCATTATTCGAGAATAAACTGTGCCGAAGGAATATTGCTAACATGTCTGTGAGTATCGGAATCGAACATATTCTTATTAGAAATGCTTCTTTTTTCCTACAGCAACAAAAATATTTTCACCATTACAGACCCATTGGGTTCATAGTTGCCCGTCTTACCCCAAACTCAATGTCAGAAGTTCAGCACGATTTTTCGCTGTGGACAATTTGATGCAGACAAAGCAAATCCGCCGTAAATGAACACTGTTGGCATATGAGTGTACCACAAGTGATTGCGAGTTTTTAACTCTATAGTGCTGTACACAAAAGCTTGCACAATACATTATGGATGTTTTCAATGAAATGAGTGTTTTAAAGAAATCAAAATAAAAGATTATCGACTGAACACAAATTCACCAGACTTGAATGGTGGTGTGTAGTGGGAAAGGCAATTCTGGTCCTAACTTTTCTTGCTCGTAGCGCTATTGGTTTGGTCTGCAGAAGGGGTGCCCGTCTTACCTACCCTGACCGTCTTACCCCACTTTCCCCTATAGGTCATGGACATAGGCATGCCTTCTCATATAGGGCTTAGGGCGTCCATCTTGGTTATTGTCTGGGCTGTTTCAAAATACTAGCGCAACAAAGAGTTCCTTACTAGGTCTATATCAACGTGTTCATGAAACTTTGCATACAGATTCCGATAAAAAGTCAACGCATGACCTGATTTAAATTATTCTACCAACGGCCTTGTATCATTACAAGCATTGTGGTCATCTTTGAAAGAAGCTCTTGCTCACTCAGTGGCCAACCGGCTGAAAATCCGATGACAACAACATAACTTTAAAACTTAATGAAATACATAACTTTCTGATGAAGTAGGTACAGGAAAATAAATGAACTTAAGCTTATCTGTTAAGCTAAGACTTACACTTGAGTTGTGTAACATTATGCATCCATTCTCAATGCTTTATCCTTCAAAACGTGATCTAGACCATAAAGGTAATCATGATCCACTCACGCATATTGGCTGTATGGTACCAACATAGTCTTTATAACAAACCGACTTTATTTGTCATCCCGATATCAAAGGAGGAGGCGGCACAAAAAGAAACAGCAACAATAAAGCAATGGTTGAGAAATCGTGGACATTGTCATGGCTCCGTTGGTTGTGTTGAGCAATTTGAATTTTTCAACCATTACGCTGCGTCAATTCTACTTAACCCGCGACCTGGTGGGGGGGGGCTATTTTTTGCCCCCCCCCCTCCAGACTTTTCGATATATCTCCAGAACCGCTGCGCCGATCGTCACCAAACTTTCAGTACCCTCCCGGACATCAATTTTACACATTGTGACCAAAAATTTTTCCAAAAGCTATGATAGGTTGGTCGGAAATGACGTCAGAGTGACGTCATGTTCTGCCGTTTTCGACCCAAAAAAGGGTTTCGCGGGAAGAGCTGTCAGGCCTATAGCTTTGCAAATACAGAAAAATGTTTAGGACATAAAAGCTGTAGAATTGACAGGGCTACAAAACTGTCATCTCTGATTTTTGAATTGTTTTGATTTTGACCCCCCAAAATCAAAAAATAGATTTTTCAGATATAATAGTCAAAAAATCCAAAAAGTTTTTTGAATTTCGCAAAAACCGGAATATATGTGATAGTCCTTACCACCTTCCATCCACATACCAAATTTTAGATTGATACCTCTTTTTTTGGCGAAGTTATAGCGAAAAAACTGTTCAAAATTGATGACGTCAAATTTTCAAACTCAATTTGTAGCAATTCTAGACCTCGTAGTGCAAAACAAAGACCACCATTAGACTCCCCGTGACGAGCTGCATCGAATCGATACCCATTTTATGCAAAAATATCAACTTTAAACTTTGACCTTTTTTGACCTGACCTTGACCTGACGTCCACCAGAAAGTGACCTAAACCGTACCTGATGGTCTTATAACCAACACCATTGGGTTGGAAATGAAAAACTGGCCATAAAACATGCATCGCACAACCTTAGTAAAGTTGGGTTCATGTGGTGACCCTTGGTGACCTTTGGTGACCTGACCTGTGACCTGACCTGGTATGACCAGTGACCTCTAATAGCAACATATGTACTAGACAACTGACGTCTTATCGCTGATTTTCGACAAAATGCGTTTTACTCGGTGTTATAGCGCTTTCCCTAGAAGCCCCGTGAGCGGTGAAACATTTTATCTTTGACCTGACCTGTGACGTCATCGGTGACCCCGAGGTCAATAAAATTTGGTTTCCCTTGACAAATTTGACAGGGCTATCGAACGCCGTTTGAATCTTGCGGATCCGTCCAGTAGTTTCGGAGATACGAGGGGGGGGGCAAAAAATAGCCCCCCCCCCCACCAGGTCGCGTTATAAACAGACCCCACCAGGGCGCGGGTTAATCTCACAAAATGTTATAAGATTCCTGTTGCAGTTTTTGCTTGACTACACGCCACCTTAGTTCAAAATAATTTGTAGGATAGCATACAAATAACCGGATAGCAATGACTATTTAGCATAACATTACAATATCCTAACATTTAGCATTAGCTACAATCACGGGTGGAGAATGTTTGAAAAAGTTACCCCGGCCGGCGACCGAAAGTCAGAAAGACAATGATGCTCAAATATTTGTCAACGGTTATCAACAAACCCCTATTCTGTGGCATAGAATAATGGATGTCTGCCGCTTGTACGTTTTTAGGGAAAACTGCTGCACGCAGGTGCGGAAGATTTCGATTTTGTAACAACAATTTTGCAACACGACTTAAAATTTCGGACGCATGTCATCTAGTGCTATAGGTCAGGTCATCAGGTCAAATTTGCTGGATGACCGTGCTAAAAATGCAATCATGCCCTTTGCAAAACTTATTCCGTGGAAGTTGCAACCTTTCCCACACAAAACAAAATGTCAAATTTGACCGTTTTGACCCTCTTGGCTCTTATTGAATATTGATTTGAGCTCGCACCTGAAATATTATTCGCGACCGAGGCTAAAAACGAGTAATCGAATGTTTTGTTTGCAGTGTTTAACCCGCGCCCTGCTGGGGGGGGAGGGTGTTTGAACACCCCCCCCCCCCCTTTGTGGTTTTTCGCGAATATCTCAAAAACGGCAGCGCGGAGCGCCGCCGTTTTTGGTACACCTTATCATACATCAATTCTACACATGTTGTGAAAATGTCAGACCAAGGTCATTCAAGGTCAGGTCACCAGATCACTTGAAGTGACCTCACCTCATAAAAAGTTTCAATGTCTGTCATAGCTACACCGAGGCAGTGACCGATCGCTTTGAAACTTTTAGCGATTGTCAAGAGCAATAGCATGTACAAAATGTATATCTCAGAATTTCGATATCGATGACCTAAGGTCAGGTCAATTTTGCCACCTCCCCATTATAAGTCAATGGGAGAAAATTGAAATGCGCCTCTTTTGGACAAAAGACATTATAATTAATCCCAAACACCGAATTACAAGTGGTTTAGATACACTGAACATGAAAATGGTGTCCGTGACCCTTGTTTATGCCCTGAGGTCATCTTAGGTCATGAATGGTATCTAACAGTTTTTCGCAAATAACTTTTGATAGAGGCGTGCTAGAGCGATGAAAACGCCTTAGATGTGTTCAGCTCGACGATACGGATCGACTGATATGCAACATGACCCTTGCCGGTCAGGTCATGACCTTGACCTGAGGTCAAATTTTCAAGTTGACCTTTCAAGGTCAAGTTATAGTTCATTCGATGCGTCTTGACAAGAGGAACACGATGCCGGTAAAAGCAAGCTCGTACAGGGCTTGGGTCAAAAGTTATTGCAGAAAAACTGTTTCCGAAAAAAATCGGTTATTTTTGCAGTTTTTGCCCCCTGCAGGCAAAACCGTTGACGTTAGGTCAAATCTGAGAGAATTACTCAGAAAGGGCGTTAACCCTATTCCTGGCGGGGGGGGGCCTCAGGAGCCCCCCCCCCCCCCCCTGAGGTTTTTTTGGTTATTTCTCCCAAACGCGTTGAGCTAGGAAGCTCAAATTTTCTGACTTTTCCTAAAAGGCTTCTACGCAACATGTCTGAAAATTTTGAGTTGATCTGACCTCAGGTCAGGTCACCAGAGGCGGTTTGGTGACCCTACCTCAGAAAAGTTTGCAATCACGCCAGAGCTAGAGTTTTTGACCGATCAATTTCTTCTCTTCAGGTTTTAGTTAGGGTACCAGTATGTGCAATTTGTATATCTCGGAATTTTGATATCGGTGACCTAAGGTCAGGTCAGTTTCGCGACCTCCCCATTATAAGTCAATGGGGGAAAAATCAACTCCCTGTTTTTACCACTAAAACGGGTCGGAATGGCCCCATATAACATACATGACTTCATATAAGATCAACCTTCACTACCTTGAGGTCTG